AATGCAAAGTTCAAAGAACCTATTTTGCGGTTGAGAATTCGAAAATGCATATTCAATAAATCGGACACATATTTAGTGAGAAGTTTTCAGTTTCACGTTGTTAAATTCTTGCTGTCAAACTGAAGTGTTTATTTATTTATTTCAAATGACAGGCGTTTTGATAGTTATCATTCGACCTTTTGCTGACCCTGGGCTTCACAGAGGGAAGGAACATCAAAGTGAGAAAAATTTGAGAATGGGGCGACAGAATAGTGATTCAAGGATGTAAAATAGATGGACAGACATAAAGGTAATGAAAAGGTAAGGCGAGTACCTTGGAAGTGGTCGAATATGACACGCAGTGAGATGATCGTAGTTTGAAGTCAGAAGCAAAATTCCGGTTTATAGACTTTTGCAATATAAGTATACGTCGCACATGGTGTATCATGTGGAGGTAAGTCTAGCACAAACCAGAACTGAATTGCTCTATCAATAATTTTTTGATGATGGCTTCAAAAGGATTACTTTTTTGACCTTTACGCTTCACTTTCCATGCAAAAATTCTTTCATGATATTTAAAATAAGATCATTAAAATGAATAATAGAGGAATTCTTTGTAATAATGTCTTATGAATCTTAAAGTTAAAGATTGAGACACTATTTAAACAAATTTACATATAAATAAATATAAAAAATATAATTTATGGTTTGTAAGTAATTATTCACTACGGTGTTTATTGATTTGCATTAACTTACAACATTGATCTTTTAATGCTCTCTTACGATGGTGCTAAGTGTATTATTTCGCGTTGTGTAGTTTTCGTATTTGTATTAAACGAAGATGTCAGGATTTAATGCCGGTCCCGCTGGTGGTCCGATAGCGTAAGCTAAAGTTAATAAAATTACGTACTCTATGTTTTATTAAAGTCCCGGTCAGCTAAGCAGTGCTAAAATTCGGGAGCTTATGGAAAATGCCCAGCGTACCATCGCTGAAAGAAAGCAGTCCTTGGGTATTGTAGGTTTTTCTTTAAATACTCACTGAGTTCCAGAAAACTATTCCAGCTCAGCCTGTAATCGTTCCTCAGGGATTGATTGCGAATCCGGAAATTGCAGAAAAAGCACGAAAGGCGGCTGAACTTCAAGCAAGAATAGCATCAAGATTTGAGTCTGTTGTTAACGCTCCTGAGCCTACGCCTCCTGCCGATGATCCAATTAGGTAATTTACCGGTTTTATGCTTTTTACCTCTATCCAGAAAGGAGCGAGAACAAATGCGACATCTAATTTTTGATGAACACGGTAAAACCATTGATGCAGTTACTGGGGAAGAAATTCGCATACCGCAGCGCACACCAACACTTAAGGTATGGTCCATATTAATGTCTCCGTTATTGTTTTCCTAGGCGAACGTACGTGCTTTAAAAGCACAAACCGTCAAAGAGGTTGTTGAACAAAAATCCACCAAACCTGCCACGAAATCGCCTACTAAAAACCTCTACTTCGATTCAAGGTTGAATTTAAAGTCAGCTGCAAGGCCAAAGCGACAACTTTCATTTTTCGAACCAGGACAGTTTGTCCAACTTGGTCAGCGATTAAGGACTAAAGCACAACTGGATAAATTACAAGAGTCAATTGCCCAAGCTGCTAAACGTACTGGCATTGCTAGCGCCGCAAAATTGGCTACAATTCAACCTAAAAGAAAAGTTGATGAATCTTCTGTTCCTGATGTTGAATGGTGGGATGCCTACATTTTGAAAGATGGAATTACTGAGTAGGTTTTTTGCCTTATTTTACCCTTTGTCCAGTTACGGTACTTCAGATGAATACGATGATGTTATTAAACTTGTTAACGAATCCTGGATTACTGATTTAATTGAACATCCAATCAAATTGAAAGCACCCACTGCTTTGGATAAAATACCGGAAATTCCACTCTTATTAACAAAGAAGGAGCGCAAAAAGCTTCGTAGGCAAAATCGTCAAGAAGCTCAGAAGGAACGCCAAGAACGAGTTCGACTTGGTTTGGAGAAGCCACCTGAACCTAAAGTAGGCGTTTGTTTTCTATTGCGTGCCTTCATGGTCAAGTACATTTTGAGTGCTTTGAAATTAAAATTCGTATGTACATGATAGATCCCCTTCAAAATCATTATGCTTTGGTGATCTCTTTTTTACCTGCCTCGCTTGTTCTGATGGTATAGTTTAAGAGGTTTTGTTTATTTAGTCGTCAACCGATCACTTTTAATCTAGGCTATTTTGAATTTGTAAGACGCAGGACTGTTTTTTATAATCTTTGTAATAAAAGCTAACTTCAATCTTCATCCATTATTTTCCTTAAAAACGTACTAATCAGGTTTTATTATGATAACTGTTTTCTATGTTTTTATTTAGCTAATTCTTTCATAATTTTGCCACTAATCTTACTAGTCGTTTTATTAACATTTGGTCACTTGGACATTAATTGATCAGAAAATTGATTCGCAGTCTTCAAACTCATATAGCTTAGCTATCAATATACTCTCTAAGTCACTGACATATATCTAATCTTGTAGATTTTTATCATCCGCAAGACCTTTTCTTGGTACATGACTCCTTGAATGCGATACAATTGTTCGAGGGTATAATCAGCATTTTGTTACAGATTATATCGAAGATGTGACTAGTGTTTTAGTCATGTTTTTTGACTTAAGCAACTTTTCATCGGGCATATGTGAATTTATTTCCTTAACTCATGACTAAATTTATCTAGTTCTTGAGTAAGGTACTTCGCCTACTTTCGCTTGTTCATTTGTTTGAAAGAGTGGTTGAAGTATTACATGACAATAATTCAATCAAAACCATACCTTTGAGGTAAGAATATCTATCTCTTTCAGCCAAGGATTTACTAAAAGTGAAGGATTTCCTTTGATCTCTATTTATAATAGGTGTCATTTTGTCTCCTGACATTTTGCCATGAACTTCTGGGTCGATAGCGCTGCATTCTTTCGGAGCCTTACCTTCATAGAGCAGTATATTGTGAGAGGTTTGATTGATTGCATTTTACTGTCACTCAAGTTCCTCATTCTCTTAGCTGCGGACCAATTCCAGCTAGTTTAACTTAGTTTAATTTGAGGTGTTTTTACGGCCACATTAATTGTTAATGTGGATTGAATTTCCCTGCTATTGATAATTACAAAGCGTAGTTATCTAATTTTTAAATTATGTTGCAGGTTAAATTGTCCAATATAATGCGTGCACTGGGTACAGAAGCTGTACAGGATCCGAGTAAAGTCGAAGCCTATGTTCGCAAGCAAATGGAATCTCGTAAGCGAGCCCACGAGGCTGCGAATGCTTCTCGTAAGCTGACCAAAGAACAGGCTCGCTTCAAACGAATCAAGAAATATCGTGAGGATACCTCCATTCGGACCTATGTTACAGTATATAGGTAGGTCGAAGGGTTTTTCTAAATCGTTGAGATTTTTGTGCAACATGCATTTATGAATTGTTCTAATATTGTTTTCAGAGTTCGAGACCTCACAAACCCCTCGCACAAGTTCAAGGTGGAGAAAAATGCGAACCAACTGTTTATGACAGGCATTGTAGCCATGCACAGTGATTGCAATGTCGTGGTGGTCGAGGGCGGACCCAAGCAACAGCGCAGATTCAAGCGTCTCATGATGCACCGAATCAAGTGGTTGGAGAATAAACGCGGAGTCGTTGACGCAGAGGCTGCCAACTCGAGTTCTCCGCCTTGTACTGTGGTCTGGGAGGTGAGCAGAAATTTGTTGGTTTGGAATTTCATCTCCAACTGTGCTTGCTAGCGATGTACCGGTTTTAACCTGAAATTTTCAATGCTCATAAAATTAATGGCCTAGACTTAAGTGTAAAATTGTTTATTAAGTCCAAGGTCGCTTTATTATCGCTTTCTTGGCATTTATTCTTTGAGTCGCATGGCTGTGCTTGAATCATAGGATCTATTGAGGGTTATTAATGTAATATATGAGTGTAAATTGATTTTTATATTTAAAATGGGAAATTACAGAACCAGATACGACCGATTTACTGACCTTTTTATTCTGTCAGAGCACTGGTCAACTTGCATCTGTTAAGTTGGAGGTTTAATTGTTGTGTGCCTATGGTGCCCATTCGGTGACTTGTTTAGCTAACGACATTGATTAAACTTGTCAAAATGCGGGTCGGTAGAATGCGATGCTTTGATCAGAACGGCCCCAAGATACCTGCCCTATACCCTAGTCAAGTGTTGAGCAGACTTCCCTTGATGGAATTGAAAAGATTTCTTATTGCTCTCTATGTAAAATAGATTTTAACTCTCATGTGCATTCCCTTCTTGCTTTTCAGGGAACTGTCAAGACTCGTGCTTTTTCAAATATGCAAGTGAAATTATGTCCCACGGAGCTATTTGCACGCGCACTCTTTCAGAAGCAAAATGTGGAACATTACTGGGATATGGCTTATAGTGGAGCCATCTTGGAATCCGTTGACGATACTTTGGATTAGTATTTCTTACCTTTATTAATGTGGTATTTGCTGTATATATATGACAATACATTTTTTAATGAAAAAATTCTTTTGTAACAAATTTCCTCCTATTTGATCTTTGTTGGCTAATTGTGCTGTTTTATAGGTCTTCCTGAAAAGAGTAAGTATCGTTCAAAATATTTGTTGAGAAATATTAAGTTCTAATTGCAACCTTTCGATGCCACATTAGTTTATTTATTTGGTTGTCTGTCGGCGTTTTATTAATGCTTATTTCGCTAAATTAGTTTCTGCTGTTGGTATCAAAAGAAGCATTTGTTGATTTATATTTTGCGTTCTTTTGGTTTCAATGAACATGAACACCTCCTGTAACGAGTACCAATCAATAGTTAAATAACTTATTTTCTATGGCGTTAGAGCTTTATTTTCAGTAAGACAGTTTGTGCTTCGTTTAAGAAAGTCGGAGATAAAGAAGGGGCCGGGGGGGGGGGCGGTTAATAGTCCAAGAAGTCGTAAGATGCGAAAATATTAAAGAAAATATGGAGTGCAAGTCGAAGTGATTTTCCTTCCGAGTTATTGATTCATTGATTTTTATTTTAACAACATACATGTACAAAATGCACGATATCGTAAAGTAGTGTTGGTGAATGTGGAAATAGCTTATTGAACCAAATCGATCCAGAATTAGGACGCGATTTCTCAGTACGTTTGTTGATTTATGGAAGTCTTACATCGTTGCAATTTCGATTATTTACTTATTTAAAACAAAATCATTTTCGTTTCTAATTAAAATAGTTGCAATTCTCTTTTGAGGCAACAGGTGGAAGTTGGGTTATCTGTTTAATGTTGAATGCTTTTACATTGTGACGGTTTGATAAAATGACGCGTAAAAGCACTTATCGTTAAAGGGAACATAGAGCTTTCACTGAACCAAAATTTTACTACTGCATAATTTATTGACTAAACAGGCGGTCGATCATTTCCCATGCATCTTAATTTGTATTTGAAAATATACTACCACAATAAGGGCAGTCGTTTGAGTTTCAGGTCTAGCCTTTTTACACTGGATCTGAGCAACTCTCTTCAATTTTTCATAGCGAGTTTCTAGTAATGCCGTTATGGCAGCCTTTGTTATATTATACTTTTACAATATCGATTTCCTTTGAACTAATTTTTTATCCCCCCTCAGTTAAGTATATGGACTAAAAGGTATTCTGCTTCAATCGATGCGTCGGTAAATATGTAAACATAGTTGTCAGCGCAATTTTGCGCTTTCCTTATAAGTTTCGGGTTCTCCTTTATAATTAAATAATTTCTGCTGCATTCTGCAAGTCAGTGGAGTCGGTTGCCTTTGTTACAACGGTTAAAATCACATTTTTACTTGCCTATAATTAATTTGGGATGAATTATTTCGCTTTAAAGGTTAAAGGTTCGGGTGCTGCTTTGAGTCGGCTTAATCAACAGTGTAGTGGCGATTCGGGAAATGAAATCTCAAAGTCGCTGGGAACTAAAAGCACAACCGAATCGGGACCTGCAGAACCAATTCTGAAAAGTTCTAACAACAATTCGATAAAGGGTTTCAAGAAACCCACTATAAACTCACCGAGTCAAAATACTCTGCCAACAGAGGCTAATTCAATTGCTTCAATCAAGGTTGCTGCTAAACATTTCAAGAAGCCTGCACTTAGTGTTACTCGTAAGGAAGATATAGAATCACCCCTGCCCAAATCAACTGGCAAGAAACCATTACCTAAAATTAATCTCAATAAGCCATCTTCCAAACACAATAGTAAATGCAATAATGATACAAAAGTTCCTGATTACTTGAGCAACAAAGAAACTTCTAAAAAACCGGAAGTATCTTTATTTGATGAAGTTGTTGATGGCTTCCTTGATGAATACGAAGATTGGACAACTGAGCGTCTCTATGAAAAATTTTCTGCCAGTTTTGATTATTCCCTGTATATTGAGGACTTCAGCTCTAAAGTGAGTTAAATTACATCTAGGAGTAGTTTTGATGACTATTATTTGTAAATTGGATATTGATGGTGATATGAAACTTAGCTCGAACGTTTTTAATTAACTCAAGAAGAAAAAGAAATTGCCAAAGATTAATACAGCTGCGAAAAATGAGAGCCACTATTCTGGTCAGTCCAGCGATTCCTTTGAAATCCCACTAGAGGATGTCGGTATTGTTGACAAGGAAGGTATCGAGTGTTTGAATTTGACCTCTTCTTAATTTTCAAAATTACTGATCAAAAATTACTTTTTGAAGACACAGTTGAGATGAGGAGAAAGTCCAATGATAACCATAAAAGGAGTTTTGCATCCACTACTACCTCGAAACTATCTCTAAATAACTTTGACAATTCGATAGATTCTGTGATTGATTCCGTTCTCTCGACTTGTGATTCTATGACGAATGAAGAAATCGTCACCGTTTTTCGACCTTCGACACCACTAATCGAGAGCGAAGATGAGGAGTTCAGTAGCCCCAAAAGTCCTATCGTGGTAAATTTAAGAGTATTCTTACTCTCATCTTGCAAACCATATATTTTGTTCTGCGTTCTAGAACTCCGACATCGAAAACTCTGTTACGGGACTTATTGATGAAGTCCTTGAGGAAATATCTGATTTAAATGCGAATGATTTATATCAAAAACATATTGCCAGTGGTTTGTCAAGTCAGAATAATTATGAGGGAAAGTGCAAATATGCCAGAAAGGCAAGTTTAAATTTCTTATAATAATTGCATATGTATGAAAAGTAGAAATTGATTAAAAATTTGATATAAGCTTTACTTTCCAGTTTTCACACTCAACCACATATGTAAAAACCGTCATTCTATAAATGTATAACGATTTTTCTAGTTGTTCTATATTTCAACATTTGGATTAGATTTCATTTCATATGCATATTTTGTATAAATACTAATGTTGGTAATGTTCCGCAATTCTAGGTTAAGAAGCCACGTCTTGAAAATGCATCCGAAGTCTATTCAAATGGTCAGTAAATTATTCTAGTAATAAGGTGAACATGTCGAATAACTTAAATACCTACTTTCCTTTTTACCATAGTTATGTCAGATACTATATTTTCATTAAAACCAAGGCGTTGTTCTTTTGCATTTTAGATGAAACAGTTGACATACCTAGTTTGGTTGAATCACCTTCAGGTAAGATTACTGATCTAATAGGTGTAGAACTTATTTCCAATAATGTGAACGCCAAGATCCCTGTTTCATTTCACCTAAAATTAACAATTTATACTACTTATTCAAATGTAAGTAGGAACGTGGGTTGAATGTGTCATGTGCAAGAAATGGAGATATCTTGAGGACTCGGTTGATCCAAGTGAATTGCCAGAGGATTGGTATTGCGGTTTACAATCAAAGTATCTCAGTAACGGCCATTCAAATATACCCGCTTGTGATGAACCCGAGATTTTGGACCCTGGAATGGATGAAAAGCAGTATGTATATGGTCAATTTGCAACTGGATCCATTGTCTTAGCTAAAATGCCAGGTAAGAATGTGGCTACCGTTACCGAATCTCACCAAGAGAAATGTAGATAAATTCTGTGTGTGTGTGATAATTCAGGCTACCCTGAATGGCCAGCAATGATTGATTGCGATGGAAGGGGCAATTTCGCGGAAATCTGCCATGAAACTGGCGATATTTTGCGTTATCGGGTCGTTTTCCTTGATCCAAATAATCCAACCAATCAAGTTCTTCCCGCATCAGATATTCGAAAATTTTCTGAGGCCGTTAAAATCAAGTTAACTTCACAAGTAAACTTTTCCAACCTTATGATTTATGATTTAAATTACAATATCTGAATTGGGGTCCTAAATATAATTTAGAATAACTAGACAAAATCTGTTTTAGGGCTTAAATACATATACACTTAGCTCTTATTGCTTCAATTTAATTTATTGATTTGACGATTTGTGCCCATGTTTATTGAGTTATACCATTGTAACCTGATTAGGATCTTCACAGTTGGGTTGGCTAAAGCTCTGTTCCAAAATTTCTTAACTTGGGGATCTGTTGCATGTATCTTTAATAGTAGTGCTACCCGTATGTACCAACAAACCGATTGGTATTTGAGCACGGAAATTCAAAAGAAATTCATCTCCTAAAGGAGTCCAAATACGCTCCGATTTGTAACGTCATTCGCCAGTGCCAAATTCGTTGCTAATGCATCTTCATCAAAAACCATTTTAAGCCGGTTTTTTTCTAACTTAGCAAGCTAAATACCAAAAGAAGCTAGATGCCGCAATAGCTGAAGCAACAAAAGCTCTACGACTGCCAGTGGAGGAACGCATCTTCAAGTATGGTTATCCATATCCTTCAGAGGATTAAAAGTACGTGCTTTCTGTTATAATTTAAGCCTTACATAATTTTAGAGAATTCCTAACCCCATCCTCATCCTCAGAACGTAAAGGTTTCGTCTTCAGGAGTCGATCAAAGCTGCATTTTATAGCGTTTTACTATTGTATTCCCTACTATATTAATAAATTTGTATCTTGTCAATTCATAAGACTTTTAAACTCATCAAATTCTATTAAAGATTGAAATTTGTGTTTTTGAAGTGACTGTCGATAAATTAACCAATTTTTGTGATAAGAAGTTTCTTTAGATTTACCCTATTTCAATAATCAATTCAAAAGTCTCTACTTATTCGTTTACAGATAAATGAATTTCGAGTTTATCGATTCTGTTTTAAATGACATTGGTTCTAAATCTCCACGAACACTTTATAATCGGTATATTGCTAGTCGACAATGCAAGAAATCTCCTGTTGGAAGTATCAAAACACATTTTCAATCTTCGGTGAATTTGGATAGCGTTAAACCGGAATTGTATCAAATTTTCAATGAAATGCTCAAAAAGGTATTAGGAGGTCGGACTCAGTCATCGTTGAGCGGCAACCTTAATACCCCTGTTCTACCCATCGACATGCAGAGGGGTTTAACATCTGAAGCACCCAGGCAGTTTCATAATTTAACTCCCTCTCTTATGATAAAGAAGAGATCAAAACGACCCCAAGTTTTAAGAAAACAATCCAAACCCGAACGAATAGAGAAAATCAATACCAAGAAGGGTATCTGGGTACCTACAGAAGATTTTGAACATCAAGGTAAGTACTATTAGTTATTTTGAAACAATTGACTCTTCCAGTACACTTAACCGACTCACCTCAGTGTTCTTGCTTCCGTTGAAAATAAATTAATAACCAGTGGCAACCCAATTCGCTCCTAGGTGCATTTCAAAATATTTTGGAAATGTCTCCCAGATCGACACTTAGCTAAAGACCCACTAAAAAGAAGCCAATTCTGAATGTTAATTTTATAAGAATAATGACTCCTTTCTTCAGTTGGCGTGTGTTTTAACTTCTAGCTTTTTGTATATTTGTTAGGATTCTTAAGTGTGTACACGAATATAAACTTTTACATTTTTGAAGAGCAGCTAGATTCATTTTATTCTACTTGTGATATTTCTAAATCTGTAAAAGATATATAAGATCAAATATTAACATTTCTGGTCTTTATTTTTCACAACTGATCGAATTGATTGTACAATTTTAACAATAGGGACTGTTTTAAACTTGCAGGTGGCAAGGTTTATACCAACAAAGAAAAATAAGGCATTTTCTTGGAAAGTATTGTTTTTAAAGATTTTCATTGTCACTTTTTTAATTGGCTTCCAAAATTAATTTTTTACAAACCCTTCTTTCTACTTTTCTGCTAAGATCAGCTACGTTTCAAGATTTAGTTCACTGCAACGATTGGTCTTCTCAAACCTTTCTCTGCTAACGACTAAAGAGCATATCGTCAATACTAATTAAGGTTATCAAATAGTTTCTGTAGGATGTTTGCCTTACTCACCTCTATTCGATTTACTTTTCCATCAAGGTACGTGGATTGAGTGTGTGAAATGCAAGAAATGGCGCTTTGTAGCAGACGTTCACGACCCCTCTGATGTTTCACATGACTGGAATTGCGGACTTCAGGCAAAGTGGAAGACAATGTCGATGGCTTCAACTAATCCATGTGATGAGGAAGAAGATGGTGCTGCTAAATCCCAAGCAGAGGCCCAGCCTTATGTCTACAGCGAGTTTACTGCAGGTTCCATTGTCTGGGCAAAAATGAGAGGTATATCTAACCCTTCTTGGATCAATATTTCTAACTTTGCTAATTATTTGAATCGAGTAAACGATTTACGCGGACACCTTAGAAGGCAATAAAATAGCGCAATTGGACCACATTCCAATTTAGAAAATGCACCTATGGCTGAGATGCACGCATGCTAATATCTCTTGATAAGATTCCTATGAGATTGCTATTTATATTAACACTCTTTCGACTTTCTGTGCCTTTGATGTTCTTCCCCTCTGTGAAGCCCTAAGTCAGCTAAAGGGCTAATGAAAACTATTAAAACGCCTGCCATTTGAAATAATAAGTTGCTTGAAAGATGGAAATACGTACCAGGATGCCAAGGTTTTGAATGTTGAGAGTTTGACAGCTATCTAATCTCTGAACACAAACCTTCTTCCAAGAGTGACAATTACCATTTACTGTAACCTCTAACCTAGACACGCCCATACTGATTACATGTTCTTCTTTAGCTCACTCTGCTTGTGGTGGTGTCACTCTGTTGGGATAGATATATTATTGGCCAGCATCTAATCGGCTTTGTATCTGACACCACGATTTTATTCATTGGTGATCAAAACGGAAGTAGAAAATGAACACAAAAGATCAATAATTTCACCTAAGTCCGTTTATTGGCATATTTTCTCATAAGGTGATTTTTATTTGTGAGAAGTCTTAATGTTTCATATCTCAAAATTCCATGATTTTATTTCTGAATTTGTAGATGCATTTATGTTTGCAATTTCAGAGCTCTTTTGTCAACTTTAAGTGGGTGGTAGGCCTTACCTTCTTGATCATCTGCATCCAAGAGCAAGCTATGATGCTAACAAAACTATCTTTGACATAAAAGGAGTATGCTATTAAAAACCCGATTTATCGTTTTTACTTTAACATTCGGAAGTATTAGTGTGTTTGTTTTCCTCAAAGCTGATTTCAGGTTCTCTAGATTCTTCTTTAACCAATTTGCAGGCATGAGATAGCTGTTGATGGAAGAATTCTATTTTCACGCATTCTTAACGTATCATTTTAACTCAACTATCTAAATGGGCTGTTTCAAGAGCACTAATGATAAGGTACCTCGGAAAAAAGACAAATAGGAATAGCCGATTGGATCATATCGCTCCTGAACAATCATAAGTTCATAAGATTTTGAATCGTAAGCATTATCTAGCTAGTTCTAACGTGTATTTACGAAATTTGTCAAAGGAATTAGATTCAATACATAAATGCTGTTTTAATCTCATTTTTCCCATAGAATTTTCGCAAATTAATTATCGCCATGGAAATAACCGGGTTGCATAAAATTTAGTGTGTGATCGTCCAAGTGTAGACGAAATTCCTGGCCTCCTTGTACAAACCTTTACTCTGAAACGACATCCAAGTGGCTTTCCCTCATTTGTGTTATCTATTTATTGTTATTATTTTTCGTCTTGTAATGAAAAAAGCAATTTTAACTGTTTAATTTAAGTGCGATTTGTATTGAAAGGGAAGGATAGAAAAGATGCCGAGATCAATATCAAGAGATCCAAGAAACTTCATTTGTTTTTTTTGTTTCTTGTTGTATAGTATTTTCTAAATAATTAGCTTATAATTATGACTTTTAATGACACTATTCGTTCTTTGAATCGATTCAAATGGTTTTCAGTGCCACTTCATTTAATTTTTGTTCCATCGGTTGATGAGGCAAAACGATCACATATGATATTTAGTTGTCTACATAGCAGAAATGAGATACCTTCTGTGTTTTTTATCAGTCTCTTTTACTGAAATTATTGTTTACAGAGCCACTTAAGTGGATTCAATCGTTTCATTCATGCTACTCGAAAAATCAATAGGCTGCCTAGACAAAAGCACATTTTTTCCCCGAAATACAAAGTTAATACTTCTTAATGCAGCGTCAGCTAAGCCCGCGTTACGTATGTCAAACATCGTAATTAACCGTCTTCCTACTTTACCAAACCCCCAAGCTCTTAATTGCCATCAACCATTTCTATCCATTTAGGCGCCATTTTTTTCAGACGTCTTTTTTTGAGTAGCCCTAACTTAATTCATATATTGGAAATGTGAGAAACGAGTGTGAGACCACTTTTTCTTTTTCTATCCAGGTAGTTCTGTTCTTACTGCAATAAGTTTTGCTGATTCACCTAATGTTCAATGCAAGATGACAATTCCATTAATTTTTATGCCAATATACTTTTGTTTAATGTTCAGCAAACTTGCGTTTGGTTTAAAAAGGTTCGAAATTTGATTGCGCTTCGGCTATATTCTCAACGTCTTCTGCATGATTCATTCTTAAATTGCCATTGGTGGTTTCTTCGAGACTGCTATAAGCCCGCGCTCTCTTTTGGTTCACATGAATTACTATTAACTAAAAGTTTGCCGCAGACTATCCAACAGTCTCACTTTGTTACTTTCTCAGTGGGCTATCATGAAGGTGAAGATTGTGCATAACTCGCAAAAGCTTTTCAACGCCAATGTCACCGGTAAAACGACCATCTGGGACTTAAAACAGGCCATTAGTCGTCGAATTGGTATGGCTCCTGAAGATCAAGTTCTAACTTTTAAAGGGATATTTATGGAAGATTCTCATCCCCTAAGTGATTATCGACTTCCTAGACCTGAAATCGTCCCTATTGATCTCTTCCTTCGATCTAGCTACAAGAATCTTACTCCTATTCGCGTTTCGCTTGATTCTGATAATATTGTTAGCATTCATATCCACTTGGATGCTCGGGTCAGTGAACTACGTTCTGCTATTGAACAAAAGTGTGGTATTTCAGCTAAGCGATCCGCTGGGATTCGGCTTATTTTTGGGCATTATATTTTGAATGACGATGAAAAACTGGATCGTTATGGAATAAAAAAGAACTCCTGTATCCTCGTGGTCAAACGTCTTTCTTCTCCTAAGGAGAACTCTTTTAATAACGGTCGCGATCTTGCTCAAAGTGATGAAACACTCAATTCCCCAACACTCTCGACTTCACCGAAAGTTTTAGGGAAACCGCCATCTACTGAAGATAAAATTGAAATAAACGTTATTATTCCAAATGGTTCTGGATATATGCTCTTCTTTGCCAAGAACATTACTCTTCGAGAAGCAAGTGAACAGATTGAACAAAAAACGGGAATACCTGCGGCGGGTCAAAGCTTTAGTCTAAGTAAAGACGTTCCATCCATAGCCGATATGTCTAAAACTCTGGAAGAATTAGGTCTTTCTGATGGCAATAGCCTCTATATGATGAATGAAGGACCATCAGTAAATCAGGATCATGTCGGTGAAAATGATTCACCAGTTATCATGTCTCCCCCACCTCAATCTTTTATCGACAAAAGCAATACGATAGTCTTGATCTTTAGGGACCCTCAACATGAGTTTACTATTCCTCTACCCTTTGACGCTACTGTACAGGAGGCAATGAATGCGCTCAGAACTGAGATCAATGGAAGTCGTGGTCCATTGTGGTTGAGGAATGCGGAGAATGGAAACTACATGCAGGATTATGGAAGCCGTCTATCGGAGCTTGGTTTGAAGGATGGGGGTGTGATTGAATATGTCTATCTCCCTGCAAAAGTGGAATGGACAGTTAAGTAAAGTTGAGACACTAGTAAATTGTCATTTGTGTATACACTCCGTCTCAATATCCTTATTTTCCGATTTTTTTCTATGAGATTACATATTCTTACGATTTTCATACGATTTTATTATCTTCATAATTATTTATCAGTTCACATGTTTTTTTTCTTGTTTTTTACGTATGGGCTATTGGTGACGTGTTAAGAACTTATAACTGAAATTTAGTACTTTGCTATAATTAATATAAAAAGTATCTTATCAAAGAAAAGGTGTAAAAGGAAAAAATCTTTCTGTATTTTTGAAATTAAAACTAAGATGATAATTTCCTTTAGTCTTTCTTTAAGGCGATCATTTCTACGATTTTCTGTGTAGCCTTTCTAATTACGGTAATGAATTGATAAATGATGTCAAGTAGTTTGAATGAAGATTTTTAATCAATTCTAATAATGTAAGACATTTAAATATTCTATCTTGATTTCTTGAATTTGTTTGTCATTTCTCTCGATCCATACAAATTTATTAAATCTTGATAACAGAAGATGCCATTTTGAATTTTCGGAAACATTAGATATTTATGTCTGAAGTAGCATAAACAGCGGAACATTTATATATTGTATTTTGTAATGATTTCACCGAATTGAAGATATTTTATTTCCTAAAAGGCGCCTTCTAGCAAAATATAAAGTGTGTTTGAGAAGTTGATTCATGTAAATATTTCCATTTGTTGAACGCTCATGAATGAGTCAATTTAGCGGTACTAATTTATGAACTAATTATTTGAGTGCCAAAGGTATCGGCTTATCGGTTTAATAAAAATTCTGTAAATTTCAAGAATCTATAATACTTCAAGAAAGTGCAGGTTGGGGATTAAGCATGTTTCGAAATTCAAATAATATCTCATGTCTTGCGGGATCCTTTTTATGAAATCTTGTAAATTGTAAAAGTAATAATTTTTTTGAAAAGAGAGTAATCATTTTAATTCACGCCACAGCTCAAATTTGTAGAAGATTAGATCCTATCGCTGTACCGGCTTAACTGATACTTGCTTTTTGCCAAGAAATGCTAACGTAATTACCTAAATCACAATTCGCACACTAAAAACGTGATAGGCAGCACCTTAGAATTCTTAAGGTCGAGTAAAACAAAATCAAATTTAAGTCAAGTGCCATTTCTTCCGCATTATTTTTGTTGGCAAGTTCTGAGGTCTATTAATAAGGGGCAGAGTGAATATTGTTGGAACTAAAAATGTGTCATTGCATTATTCCCTCCAGACGTACTACCATTAAGGAAGGAATTGCCTGGGCAACCATTCTTCAAATTAAACCTCTACATTTAATACCCCTTTGCAAGGCACAAAAGTGTAACAAATAAATACAACTAAAAATATCTAAGGAATAAAACCCCTAGGATATAGAAGTAAAAGCTATAAGTGGTTAGAGAAATGAACCAAAAAAATATGAAACCAATTGTACGAAATTGCGTGAATTCTATTAATCCGCGTCCTTCAACTCATTAATATTTGAAAGTATCGGGGACACAACGTATGATGTGAATGGCGTATGATTACAAACTGTAGAAATGCCGCAAAGCTTAGGCATTAACTGCGATTGTGCTACTCAAAAGTGAACAGGTAGCACATCGTATGAGATTTCTTTGATCAGCCATGGCATCGTGGTGGACTCTATAACCTTTAATCGATTACTATTTTAAAGAAAGTTCAGTTTGCAAAGCGATTTCCTTTACAATGCCATATTGTTTTATATACCTGTTTAACTTATGGAAGTGGTAAATACAATTTTTAGATGGATGTAAATTTCAATAAAAATGCGAGGAGATGCTACTTACTCAAGAACGCTCTCTTAGAAGTCCATAGGAGAATATTTGTGCGTGGCAGTTTTTGTTCGCTTCCATTTTATAAACTTTTATATGAATGCAGTCTATGGTTGCAATTGTAATTTTATTTAGAGGAGAAATTTATGTTTAAATCCCAATTTTGGTATTAACGACAAGAAGGAAAATGAAATTCGTCTTCATTTAGTTACTAAATATTTTTGTAAAAATGGCAAGGATTCATTCTCAAAATTAGCCTCTGATAAAAAGAATACCAATAAGAAGTCTTGCATTTCAACAACATAAGCGAAATGTTAGTTATTTTTGAACTATGTATATGATATTATACAATGCCATTTCTGTCATTATTTGCAAATAATCTATATCGGTCTTTCAATTGTTCGTTTTCCTTTCAAAAGACTTTTAATGGCATACTCGTTAAGTGACTTTCCGTCACATGCACTTTTGCCAACTTTTTTCATTTAGAGCATACTCCATGGATCCGAAAAGATGGTAAAGAGCTGAGGTGGAGTCTGGTGAATATTGAGGATATGGTAGAATCTCTCAGTTTGATTAATCATCTTTGGATAGGTCATTATCGCATTGTAGAACAGTGTCACGCTGAAGAATTACTTCTTTTCTGCTAATATAAACTTGCAGGTTTTTCTCCACTCGTCTTTGTTATCTTGGGAGAGTTGATGCCAGGCAGAACTTTACCACCCATTCCATTCATTTTACCGTTGTACTTCAAATGCAATTAAAAAGATGACTTTGGATATGCTAAGTTCTTCCATAGTTAACTGAGATTTGGCTTAGCATGAGGTATTAATGTTTCATGATTAAAATTAGCCGGTCTTCCTGATTTTGACGCACCAATAAAATTCCTATCGCCAGATTTCAATCTTTTAAATCGAAATTGACATCGGTGGGTTGCTTGCATTTAAGCGCAGACCTCAGTAATGGAATAAATACCTGATCAGGAGCTCAAGTTGTAATAAAAAAAGCAGCATGAAATCCCTGTCTGTTGTGCTCTCTGTCTGTTCTTGGGTTTGGTATTCTTACACTTAACAATAAGTGCAAATTTATTGCTCAAAATTAATTGCGAACAATATTTCTAATAATAAAAATGCTCTCCGAATCGATTCCTTCTTATTGTTAATGCTAATATTTGAATAAATTAATAAAAATTTCAATCTATGGAAAGTGGACTTTTAACACCGCCCTTCTTATCACATATTATGGGGCGTGACCTTTTATATTCTTTTATTTCTTTAGTTAATTGAATGATGACTGAAGAATTTCTAGATTTCACTCTTAACATAAGAGGTCTTCAAATCGATGTCTACTTTTTATTATTATCGATGAGGTATTATGTGAGAATGTCTGCTAAGATGGCCAAATGGAATCATATTTGATATCTCCAAATTTTTGCACACCATTGGAAGCATTTCATAATATTCTCCTTAACAGGGTTCCCATGGTGGCCGGCAATGGTAAATTTAAATCGAAATGGTTGCTATGCTGACTACGACCCGGTAACACACAAAGTGACGCATTATGAGGTCGTGTTCCTTGACCCCCACGTCATGACCATTCGACGCGTTCCTGCAAAATTTATTCAAAAGTACGTCTCCGGAGAGCTTATCAGTGATGATCTTCAGGTACGTCAAATGAATTAATCCCGCTTAAATCATATCCATTTCCTGATAGGGCCTATCTTAATTGAGTTGTATTCAACTGTCTGGCTTCTTTCTTTTGTTTTAAAGTGTTAATGATTTGAGAACTACGTAATTTATTCACAGCAGTTCGATTTAGGTTCAACTGATGAGTTTGCTTTGCGCTACAGTGCAAATGGGGCACTAATTCGCGTAACACTTATCTTTTTGATTAAATTAAGGGAAGGTAGTCACAATTTGGCATGCGGTCTAGTCATCCATAATTAAAGTATATAGTAAGGCGTATTTCTTAGTCACCTGCCTACTGCCTTCAATATGAATTTGCTTGTCAATTATGCGTTCGTCAATTTACGATAAAGTGTGTGGAGTAAAAAATAATCTTGCACTCTCAAAAAAAGATATTCATTTCTCCTTAAATACATCAGTTTAAAAGCTTAAATATATTAATCTCGATGTTCAAATTTATATTACGTTAGTCATACGAAAAGCACGATAGGTCACCTATTTCACTTATGACCAAGTGAAGGAAGGCGATGTTTTGCAGCTGGCGAAAGTTATGAGAAATTAAGGATGTGAACACTTTGCCTTTATCGGCGACAGACTTTATAAAACCTGGGAATACAACCGGTTGCTATCGAAAACTTGATAACGCACAGATATGATATTATTTCTCACATCACCGTTTAAGGGAACTTAAATTTAAACAGAAATGTATCCAGGTACTAAAATCAAATATTCGCACACGACTTTGAAATTCCTATGATTTCCAAGATACAAAGCTAAAATCTCATCAAGCATTCCTATTAATTAATAATTATCAGTGTCATTACAGTATGATTGGTTGGCTAAATAGAAAAGTCGAAATGTCAGTAAAACGACTAATCACTTACCCGGCGAAATTATGTCCCAAATGGAAAATCGATGTTTCATTTATTCAGAATGTCGAATATGCATTATTTTAGCTGCTATTAAATAAAATACTCTTTTTATAAAGCTCGAGTTATCAAAATGACAGTGAATATTAAATTTTTTTATTTACTTACAGAAAAGTAAATACTGGCGAAAAATACAGGATGCAATGGAAGAAGCGGAAATAGCTTTGAAACTTCCAATTCAAGTGAGTTCCACACCTACATCTACTTACTATTTTTCAGTAGCCACTGACAAATATAAATTGGTGCATTCCAGATAAGATTGGAGACATTTGGATATGAACATCCAAAAAATGTCCAGAGTTCCAACAAAGCTAGTCACTCACAAAGGCGAGAACCTATGGTGGAAAATCAACAACAAAAGGTACTAACATACAAAGTTACTCGACGGGGCCGCCCAAGGAAAAGAAAAGAAATTGAAGGCGATTCGTCTTCGGGATTGTGCGCTAATAATATGACATCGGTAAACGCTTTTGCTGCTTATTAATTTAATCTCAACATAGTTTGCCACTAAGATTGAGGAAATAATTAGCTGTCATGAAGCATTCAAATCAAAGGCACTAAAATAGTTTTGCCTACCATGCTAAAATTATTCCAACTAACGACCCCAGAATAGTAATAAATGAACCGCAGTAAAGTGGAGAAGAGAGACATTTTTAATGGAAAGAGCTTTAGTCAGCTTTATACATCTTTCATATAATTTTCTTTTATTTCTACGAGGTTTTCTCATTAGTACGGTCAATAATTTCAGTAGTATACGTTTTTTTCAATTTAAAAGAGAAGGCAACATAGAATAAATATAATTTTTCCTTAAGAAAACACATTTAATATTTAACGAAAATTTATTTTCTTCAATAAAGTCCGATTTTTTTCGCGCAACTTATTTTATCGTATCTTTTAGAAGTAAAACGTTTTGATCTTTAGTTAAAAAGGATTTATTTCATAATTGTGTATCTTACTTTTAATTTGTTTCCATTGCTTATGGAACTCCTATCTGTATATCACTTATGAATTAATCCTAATAAGACCATCTTGGTTGTTGCAACAAGGTGGAAAGCCATTAGATCGTTTATCGTGTAAATAGCCAAAATTGGGGACTTATAACACTTCCATCTTAATTTACAAAGATGGCGTTCTTGTTTAAAATTATAAAAAATGAAAATGTTTTTTTACGAGTGCCTGACAAAATATGAACCATTAATCATGCCTTTGTAACTGAAAATTAATACTTATTAAGCTACACACCACCCAAACCTGAGGAGGAAGAAGAGAGATGATTTTTTTAATCAAAAAACAGTTCTCTAATTTTGAAACGAATCGAGTTCCATGAGATCCAATAAGAGAAAAAATGATTGGATAGCAAATAATTGCAGTGCTGGGCTTTAACTGATGCGAGCGTGGAAACTCAGTAATTGATAATCTTAGGAACGAGAGCTTCCTTTGAGTGCATAATGTATTACATGTAGAACTGCTAAGTCAAAGGAAGTAAGAATATATTTACAAGGTTAATCAATTTCTATAAATGAACAGAATTTATAACGGCGTCAAATTTTAACAAGTATTTTAATTTCTTTAAGTTTTTAGCTGAAGGGCCACTAATCAGGGAGACGGCAGTATCTGAAGAACCTACAATGATGAAGGCTTTCTCAGATGAAGTATTAAAATCCGCAAATGAAGAATCACCGTCTTTCCTTAATCCTCCATTAGTCGAGGTAACTCAAGGCCTTTATTTTTGATTTACTGGCAATTTGAACGCCTCTTATTATTTCAGCTGGTTGCAAGCAATCAAAAGGTACCTGACCTGGACAATATTTGTTATGCTGAATTCTCAAATCTCCTTCCTTCAGACGAATCGGCATCTATATCCTCGGATTCACGGTGCTTTAGCGTTAGTTTGTCGCAAGAAACTGTTATCAAGGAACGATCAAATGCGGCTTCCTTGCCGACTTCCAGTTTGGATAGAACAAACGTCGAAGATACTATTTCTTCTGTCATTGTGGCTTTGAGCCAATCACAAGAATCTGTTCCGGGAAACCCCAACCAATCGAATTATGCAGAAAGTAAAGATTTAAAGTTGCATCCAATTTCTGGAAAAAGCCCTTCAATAAATTTTCCCTCTTTTATTAATACAGGTCCCTATAGGGTTACAAAACGTTTAAGTGGAACCTTCCCTGAAGCCTCAGATTTTTATACTGATATGCCTGAGATTAATTCTCGTCAGATTAGTGGTTCTACCTTAATGAATGATGATAATTTTGATATAACAACTCTTAATAAGAGTGAAGATGAATCTTCAACAGATCTCCCACAAGAAACTGCTGAAAAGGTTTCTCAAAAACTCCAAAATTCAGCTTCTTACTCAATGCTCAACTTTCTAGAGCAATCAATAATGTCTCGTTTGAATGAAAGAAGTTATTTAATTGAGAAAGTCAGTGACATTTTAACCAACCTACCCCTTGATCTGCAGTTTAAGCCAGCAGGAGCTAAATAAATGCCTGTCGTCAATCTCCCTTTATATATCTGCCAATAATGTACAGAAATTTAATTTTATTGAAGGAAAAATAGACTATAATTTAACGATGATATTTGTTTTAAATGATTCATTAAATGACTCAGAAATTGTCGCAATTCAGTTAAATTCGATGCCACCTGAAGCTCATAATGAGATGGACCAAAAATGTTCATTTAAATAACAGGGGTTAGGGAGCACCAGATAGTTTCTCGAAGATTTAGGCAATGATTTAGTAAATCTGTTTGATATCAGTCATGATTTACATATACAATTGAACCCATTTTGTACAAACCACGGTACAAACAGCGGAAAATGTACGAACTCAACTCTTCGTTATTTTGGAACTTTGAGCGACCTATTTGAATTTAATATCCATTAAACGATACTTTCATCACCTTCACTTCGTTCTCTAGTAAGCCTACAAGTAGTTTACTGTTTTTTCATCTTCTTACACAAGTATTTATTTCAATAAGTTTCAAGATCGATGTCTGCTTCGCATTTCGTCTTAATGAAGTTTCCAGCCACCCCTACCTTCTTCCGATCTGATGGTAGAGTGACCATAAATTAGAAGATTTCTCATGTTTTTTTGTTAGCGACTTCTAAAGCTTAGCCCGACAGCTTAACAGCTGTTCGGTTTAGCACGAAATATCAGAACCAATTTGTCAGCAAACAAAACATGGAATGGGTGAAGCGTGAAGAGTATTCGGTATAAATTTGACGGCTACGACAGGAAAAAGTGATTGGTGACCAGAGAGTTGTAGTCGAAATAAATGCCACTAGAGTCTATTACCGCCTTTGATTAATATTTTTTTTAAACGGAATACGATTTAATGTCGACAAATTGCATAGCCATTAGCTCACCAGGGAAACAGTGGAAGACTTCCGTCATTAAAATGCTTCTTCTCCCATAATTATCTGATCTCTTTGTCGGTTGCTATAATAAATCATCTTTGTTGTGTAAACAGGAAGTAAATTTGCGCCCCCTTTTAAAAATATACTATAAAATTTGAATCTGGCATTGGAACCCTACCAGTTCCACTTGTTACTGAGTCTTATCAAGCTGCTTTCCAAAGTTAATCGCCTCAAGGAAAGCAAACGCTTCCTTCACCTATATTTTTTTCCAAAAAAGTAAAAAAAGTTCATAAAAAATCGCGCCAATAAAATATATAAGATTGGACAAAGATTTTTAAAGAAAGTAATGATTTTTCCATACAACCTCGATTCTTCAAAAAATGAACTTGGGAATAATGTCATTGTGGTTAATTCAAGAAGGGGAAAAAGGGAGGAATTGAAGTGTTTCTGGGGCCTCTCGAATATCACGTATCTTCTCCAGAACTCGAATAGGATTGGGGGACTCACAAGTGCCTCTATCGGGAGTGTTTTCATAGAGACGACCTGTGAGGGTTTGCAAGGAGATGCAGTAGATGTATCTTGCACAATGATGCTGACTTCCACTACTCTCGGAAGAACAACTTATAAACGAAGACCCCAGTGCCAAGCAAATGGAAGATACATGTCCTGCTGGTTCATTCGCGTTGCTTTGTTGGGGTGATGATACCCCTGGGCCACTTTCAGTACTTGTGGCTAAAATCAAATTTCACAAATTCGATGAAATGTTTGCGTTAAAATCTTCTTTTGGTGCCTATCCAAACGTCAAAAAGTTAAATTCGGCCATTTTTAGCAATCACAGGACTACACATAGCCAAATGGCCTGTTTCCCTCTAATTCGTCAATTATAACTAATGCATTTTTAGCAAATTGGAGCATTTATTTATAGAAAATGCGCTATTTAAGCACAAAAAATTAATGATCGGAATTTCTTAATTCTATGGCGAATGGGGCTGAAAACATTTTCAAATGGAATTGAAACTTGTAAAATTAAATATTCCTCGTTCTTTTACATTTTTATTAAACCTTTATGCTCTTGTAAATCCGGAGGGGGGTGGGGTGGGGAGACAACTTATTACAGCAATTAGTTTTTAAAACACATCCAGGGAATCGAATTTTATGATTGGTAAGATATTAGCACGTTCACGCAAACGTACCGAAGTATATGAAAGTTAATCACATTGATATAGAGAGGTTAAAGATTTGCTAGCATATCATTGGCTGCATGATATTCGCAGAAATAACCGAAACATTCCTTAAAGTAAGTGGCAAAATACTAAGATTGGGCTGATAAATTCTTTACTTTCAGGCATGCCAAATCTCTGATTGCCACAATTTGGGAAAACCATGCCTCTTAAGACTAAAATTTGTGAACATGCACTGTGCAGATGTGCATTTTATTCTTCTATAAGAAATTAGCACAAAAATGCACAAACAATAGACTAGAATACCAATTGACAGTGATTCAATTGAACAGTTTTGAATCTTCAATTAACCTTAAATCTCTTTAGTAATACTGCTTCAGGAGTATTACCAAGTTAGTCTTAAAGAAATCCATCCAAAGTACCAGACAATTTTATACGACTATCAGAGTAAATTAATATTTATGAATCAGTAATCCATGTGCCTTTGCGAAAAGCAAAAGTCGAAATTGAGAAAATTTTGCCCCAGCGTTGAGTGAATGGAAACGGTAATATAATAGAGACGAAATTTGGGTTCGCTAGATAGATTTAACTGTTTTGTTTACATTGTTTGTCGGGTGAATAATCAATTAGAATAATTGCAGCACATTGATATGGATGTTAATGCGCATCTGTAAATGTATTTTTCTAATTATTATTCAATACGTTAATGTAGCTATTAATTGCTATTCTGCTTTGCCTATAGCAATGAAATCGCACTCACAATTCTCGCATTATTCGGGTCTGCGTTCCGTCACACTTCCATTTGATGCAATAATGATTTGTTTCCAATTATTTTTTAAAGTCAACTTACCAGAAATCGGCTTTTTACTTCGATTAGGACTGACATTTCTTGAAGGTCCAGGTGTTTGTAGAGTTTGATGCGCTTGTGGAAAATCGACACCTTGAATAGGAAGCCCTCTTGTGGGTTGACATAACCCCTCCGAGGGAACACTCTGATGCAATGCTTCTGAGCTCGATGCGAAATAGATATCATACTATAGTAAACAAGAAAGTGAATAGAAACGGACTTCGAAATTTGATAACGCTACGTATACAGCACTGAATTTACCTTATAAGAAAGGAGAAGACAATTAGGAACAGTCATAGTGTGAACAAGACTACCATTAATAAGAAGACGAAACTCAATCGCACTTTCTGTAAATGCTAGTATGTATGGTGGTGCCAGGACTAAAAATAGGCAAATGTTTGCTTACTGGTTATGCACCAATATTGTAGTTGAGGTAAAGAACCTACCTATCTGCCTCGGTTCGAAATTCCAAGAGAAATTGTAGTCTGTTGTGGCGGCAGTTTGAACTCGACTGCTCATGAGAGGCGATTTGGTGGTTGAGCCTGGTGAGTTGAAACCATCCGAAAATTGGTGTTCCAATCCTTCAAGTGACGAGCAAATGTTGAAAATATCAGAGTGATTATGGAATTCCATGGTTCGCTTTGTGATCCGTTGGAGATAACAGTTTCCTAGATAGTAGAAGGAAATAAGTTTTCCTAAAAAGTGTCAATATTAAGTGAATGTGAGCAGTAGCTCAAAAACAAATTGATAAACAAAAGTAACGTACCTGAGATTTACAATACGAGCAAATATGAATGAATTTCAGTAGTAACTTAGGAATCTCCATTTCAGCATTTGGAAGATTAATTAACCAGCAAGTGATTAGCTTAGTATTTTAAAACAGGTAAATTTAGACCTGGTTGAATCGAACAAAAATACCAATTATGAAGCTATTGCAAGACAAACTTTTATCATTTGAATTTAAGATATCACCATGGAAACTGATTCGGGTTCTTCAACTATCCTGTCACTTTTTCTGCAATTCACAATTCCCCCCTCAATATCTTCCACTAGCAATAGTTAATTCTCACATTCTTACTCCTTGGTAGGATATTATAGAAAAGGGGTTATGGATCATAGGGTTCATATCAGGGAGGTTAAAGGAAAAATTTACATTGTTCTACAAAGGAAGCAGAATGACTGATACCATGTTCTATAATTAACGTTCATGTCTAATCCCCTTTAAGCATTAATAGTGAAATAATGATGGAAATAGCTTGATGTAACCACAATATAGTTCTTTTTCAGATTAGTACTTTGTTTATTCAACAAAATATCGTTTCCGACCGTCAGCCATGAAACACGTGTTTGTCATTGAAAATTTCTGGCTGAAAGTTCCATTCGTACAGGGCAGAGCACAATTACTATCATGATTATAAGGCTTAAATAGCTGGATCTGTTGTGAAAATCGCACGTAGCAATTCGAATAGCTCAATCAACCGCGTCTCAAACAACTGATATGAGTAAAATTATAAAAGAAAAATGGTAAAATAAATGAGTGTACTAATTAGAGTCAAAGTATTGGGACTTTCATCGGGGAAAGAAAAGTTATGTTCCTCAATAATTGTGTTTAATTAAAAGAAATACAACTAGTGGAATAAAGAAGGCATCTTAAATCTGTCGACACATTACCTTTGTATACGATATCTGGATACCTAGGCGACTACAGTGACATGAACCTGACGAAAGTAGTCCAAACGTCAGATCCACTTTGAAGTTAGCCCATTGCATTTACGACCTCAATTTGCCTTCCCATCTTGTTCACATCTGCCAACTATCTCAGTTTGTTCATCCTCAACTGGAATTCTTAATCTGAGGAGTGGCCTCGTTTCGTTTAGTGAGCTAATTTAGCTAAGTCCTGGACTACTGTGATTTAAAGTCGGTGATCTATTAAAGGGCAATCACATCGATTGCATACTATGCCACACCATGTCAATTTGATAATCCCATTTATTCATTGGTAATATTAGTACTAAGTGCGTTACATTCCAATAACTGAAACCTTACTACACTGATGCATCATGTTTCCATCCTGAAGCACTACTGAACCACAGTCTATTCAACCAATTATGTGGCTTTATTGAATTCACCATTACTTAGTGCATTTATATAATCTATGTTCATCTGACAATAGGCAACTCTCCGAGCGGTATACCATTAATGCAGTTTCACTAGTGTGTATTCTGCATAATAAATTCCCTCTGTCGGTACTTTTATTGCATTCAGGCTTAGTACTTCATGCAGGCTTGTATTATGCAAATCTCCGAACTTCTGCCAAAGTGGATTGGTACGGTATGAATACTAAATTCCCCACCATTGAAGGTGTCTATGGGTTAAATATAAAATAAACGAAGAGTTCCATCTCAGATACACATCAATCTATAAAAATGGTGGTTTCTACCGGATCTCTCGATGAATAGTCATATTTTTATTAGCATGCATTAGAGCAATCTTATTTCATCTCGGGCAAAGGGGTATTTTGCATATGTTAGAATAGGCTCTGAAATGTTCTTAGGAATGAAGTTGAACCATTCCATGACCTATGCGAGTATTCTCAAGCCTTAAAATATTAATTAATTTAATATCTTCAGGTTACAATTTTTATAGTGCATTGATACCTCGGTTCTGAAACGATACTTTGTTAATGAGTTATTCCAGATTCTTACGATTAAAGCAAAGCAGAAGCTCTAAATCATCATCCGATCGTATCTCCACTACTGCCACGGCCTGACTCTTGACATTTTCCGTTCGGTAAAGATGTAGCGTCTCCCCAGTCCTCTCGTCCAACAAGTCGAATTGATTCCTGTAACCCGCACATATACGTCCACCCATGTTACTATCGAGAATGCTTAAAACTTGAACCGGTTCACTTGTAGGTACTTCCTATTTGTGCAAAAAAAGTAAAAGCAAAGATGGAGTGTAAGTTATAAAATTTGAAATAGACTGAATAAGACACTTACACGAACATAGACAAAACGAGCAGTTAGTTCAGAGTACGTGAACTGATTCCATGATGAAAGAGAACGACCGGTGATCTCCACCTGCCATTGATAGATCAGTAGTCGCTTTCCAACCGCGAACACCAGTCTCAGAGGACGTGTTGAGGAAGTACTAGTAGAGAAAATATGGCAACCTAAAATGAATTAATAGTATATTGAAGTTGACATCTTCTTAATTTATATAAGTAGCTGGGCAAGAACCTTTTGATCTATCGAGAGTATGTTTTTTCACTAATGCACGATCTATCACTTCTGTCAAAGGGAGATCACTCAATTGTAGCACGGAAATACGTGATTCTCGACCTATGTGAAAAGACAAAACGTGTAGATTTTTCAATCTTGCTTTAATGGGTAAAAATGTGTTCGTATTTGAGATATCAAGCAGTACCTTTATCGTAGCGAAGGATCATAACTCCAAAGGATTCCGCCACCTTGATCTGTTTCACATCTACACTCTTGTCAATAAGTAAGAGGGGTTGTTGATGCTCTAAAAGATAAATAACAGTAGTCTATTTCATCTTATTTTGATTGCCTCAAGATTTGATAGTAGTAGAACAGTGATATTTGCGTCAATGACTCAATAATTTAAGCAGTCAGGAAGCCACTGATACGTACCCAATAGGCAAACTCCCTACTTTGTAGTGAGTTTGGAACATGGCCAACGCAGCTGATTGATTCATTTTGCTTTTCTCCTCCACTCGCCCCTATCTCTTGATTTTTAACTTAACTCCGTTATCTAATGCCCACGCGTTTTGGAATTTTACTCTAGTAGTAAGACACAGAGCCAGGATTGACATCAATTCTTCCTTTCCCATTAAGAAAATTCAATTTTTTTTTCTTATCAAGTCTCATTAGATGGGGGTGTTAATAGCTCACACGGCTTTATCATCCTATTTCCTTGTTTCCTAACAGCTCACAATACGCTTCTTATTGCAAGGAAGAGTTGAATGGTTTTAAGATACCTCACTTCTACTGGTCATTTGGATTTCCATACCAAGTCGTATACCCGAATATCATAGCACCAGGACAACAGCATGCGTATTGTTTACGAATTTCAGTAACAGACATGTGTTTGCTCAAGATGAAATTGATTTTGAGATCACATGACGCGTGGAATTACACCTCACTGGGACTTTATGTGCGCACTTACAACCGACATGTCTGACTGATGGGGATATATTTGTAAAAACAATATTGCCTTTCTCAGTGTTTCTGCGAACTTGACGAAAAAAATTACTTGAGAATGCACATAAGGTCGAGATTAACAAATTTTTTGTTTACCTTCCAGAGCATAGATGCCACCATCGACACAAGCCAAAAGAACTTTGCCTACAAGGGTATGAAAGTATGTCCTTTTAGGAGGGAATTGATAACATACCAAAAAAAAGAATAAAAACAATAGACCACAGTCATTACCCCATGTGTCGCCACTGATAATATCACCATGCATTTTCATGTGAAGTCGCCTGGGTTGCCATGGCTAGGAATCACAAAGGATAGATAGTATGCGAATATGTGATGCAGGCAGATTAGGCATTATGGGAAATAAGAAACGTCAAAAGGTCCTGGGTTGTGACATTTAACTGCCGCATCACTTAAAAGAAAAGTGGGGAAATACGAAGGGCGAAGAATAATTATAGGGGGAAAAAAAACTTCGAACAAAACCAACATTTGCATTCATGTTCATTTCAAAGCACCAAAAGCTCAATTTGAAATGAACTTTTCTGGGTTTTTGGCGCTGCTAAGATAACTAGGGTCTACTGCTTCGACATAGTCACCACCAGATATCACTAACACACTGTAGACTCAGATTAGAGCACAATTAAAGACAAGATGCAGCCGAGCCTCAACATTAATCAAACAAAGAGAACTTATGGGAATATAAGTAGTCAACGAGGTGGCTAATTTTGCCCAAATTAGCGAGCTACGTAAGTGGTAACGTTTTTAAGCCGAGATAATTATTAACTCTCCAGGTGTGATGTAACGCGGATGTCCATAAGGATGATGAGTGACTTTGAGGGGCCCTACGAATTTAGATTATCCCGAGGTAGAACAACAAAGTGCAGCTATGATCTTTGTACTATCGAACCCCTATTAGGGCATTTGTAGCTATCTCTCCTCTGCAGCCTAATTAATAGCATAGAGTGTCACGCTATTTTCTATAACAAATTGAATATGATCGACTTTTCTTGATCAAAAAGTGGTCATTAAACGCTCTAAATTGAAGTTAAGTACTTACCGAATCTGCCTAGTAAATATTCAAAATTAAAAATATTTAGAAATCAGGTCAATCAGGGCTCTTTTGTCCCCTTCCAGCCACCATCTATACGACCTACTGGTAATTAATTTAATTTGCTCCACACAGTTAAAAAAAGAAAGCAAAGTTCTACCTGCAATGGTTAAAAAAGAACTGTTTCTAAATACAAAAGTTGGAGTAACAGTTATCTAATGGATTTACTATATGCAACCATCACCACAATAGATTGATAAACAATCTAATTGAAGGCTTTTGTCGTGTATGATATAAAATAAATTAACAGTTAAGTGACTTATGAGTATGTTAGTAATTTTTACACGAAATTGCTTAGAGCACAGTTAAAAAATTTAGTGCTGGTTTCCCTACTAGGAAATGTTATTAGATTAATTCATAAAAGCATATGCAAATCGAATTCTCACTGCCAATCGATCTATCAGAAAAGGAGGTAGTAATGTGTAATTACATGTAAAGACACTCTCTGTGGTTTACAGGAATAAACTAATCTGCCTCATTTTAAATCACATTCCACATTAAAATGGCAAACCTACGATTTGCTTGGATATTCCGGTTGTGATGCAGCTCGTTGGAGCATCGCCGCGTATAATTGTGTTCAGCTTCAACATCTAGGCAAGAATGATATATATAATACAGGAATATGTATGCCATTATATTTATGAAATAAAAAAATGAGATTACTTGACCAAATCGGATGAAGGCGTCATTTCGATTTTGATTTTTTGACGATGGAGAACTTTCTGTTGCGTCTTGAACTATTTCACTGAAAGCCCTTCGGTAGGGACCATTTGCCTGATGTATCGATCAGTGTTGTCAAGAAAAAAAATGAGTGTTAGCAGCTGGATCAATCGATTTTCCTTCAAGCATTTTTATTTATCCCAATTCGATTGGCTCGTTTAATCATCGAGCGCCATGCATGTAAGTTTATTTAGTGACATACACCCATTTGTCTATTAGCAGTTGAACCCCCTTATTGCTTATAGGTCACCAGTTAATGGGGTTCAGAAGTGATTCAATCGTGTCATTTTGCCTTATCTGTAAAGCAATTGTCACTAAAAAGCCAATTTTAAGTTAATTGCTACTCTAACCAGTGAGCTGGGTCGAATCCTTAAAACAATAGAGTTTCTTGATACATTTTGTTCCAATTTGGGCACATTATCGAGTTTTTTGAATTGATAAATATAAGTACAATTTCGTCAATTGTTATTCAAAAATACATCATTTGGCAATCAATTCTAATCTTAAAGGCCTATTTATAATAATGGTGCCAAAATTCCTCCATTGAAGACGACCTAAATTTTAAAGATATTTAAAAATGGGTTGAATAAGATCAAATATCTGGAGGAACTGTTTTCAACACTCTCCTAAGACATTTTTGTAAATCCCACGTCAACAGGCAACTAACACTCCAAGTCCATTTTTAGCTAACAGTTCAGTAGTACTAAGTTCAAATATTACGCAGGACAGGACAATTTTGAGGCTTAAGAAAAGTAAATGAATATTTATTTCAAGTGGCAAGCGTTTTGATAGTTATCATTAGTCCTTAAGCTGACTTCGGGCTTCATAGGGAGGAGGACGAACAACAAAGTGACAAAAAGTCGAGATGTAAAAGAGACAGACACCAAGGAAGAGAAAAAGGTGAGTTGAGTACTGTGGAAGGTGCCGAACGTGACATACAGTGGGAACATTGTAGTTTGAGGTGAGAAGTCAACTGCCCGTTAATAGACTTTTTGCCACTTGCGTATACATTGCCCAGGGTGCACCAGCGGGAGGTAAGTCTATCGCACACCCCAGTAAGTGAATATATTTAACATTGCAATTACATAATAGGATATGATTATTGGCTAAGAGTGAAGTCAGAATATTAGTTGTGGCCCAGGAGAGCTACACATCCAGGTTGTTATGCTCCTTTTTCCTTACTGCATATAGTTCAGTGTTTTAAGTTCTAAAACCCCTGGTTTAAAATACCTAAACGTGTTCTTAGGCTCTTGAATGAATTCAAATCACTTCGGTCATACGGTTTACAAAGGACAATAGTTCCCTCTTTTATGGAACATGTTTTTTACGGACATGTTACCCAGTGACCATAATAATTGAGATCCCGCGTAAATACAGAATATTTGGAATAACAGCATGCAGAACAGTCAGTGGTTCGCAGAAAGTGTTGAAAGCTTTCATCATGAGATCCGATACGCAATTCAAACTGACTCAACACACAGTATCTTCTCATTTTATTTTCCACTGCCATTTTTTCCAATTGACCAACTCTACTTGCTTCATCTCATATGCATTGGCTAATATGAGGAAAAAATTCGTGAAAAGAAGAAAAGATTTCCTGAGCTGTTATGATGAGAATTTTGCAATCTCTCAACCTTCTCTATGACCATGTCTAGCTACTTTTGAGTTAATTTATGGGTTTGGAGTGCAATGCATTTGCAGTCGGTTTAATCATCAGTGTTTGAAATCCAATACAATAAGGTGAAAATTAACTGATTTGGGGAGTAGATTCAACAATACAGTTACTTGATAAGGCTTATAGGCAGATGGGTTGAGTCACTGAGAGATTAATGCGAAGATGCAACAATGGATTAAAGTAAGGTATTGGGTCAGCTCAGGAAGGAAATAAATTCGCCCAAGTAAAATCCAGTTGAAGAAATGAGGAATGCTGTCTTTGAATTCTATCTAAATGACAAGATTTCTTCAATTCTTCCCGAGTATAGAAAAGCAGTACAAACTTCAAGAAATTTGGAGTATCGTGCAAAACGTGTTTCATCTCCATAAATATCAATGTTTGTGCATTTGGAAGAGTGTACAATTGAAAGGAATATATCCCCTATGTTTACCTAACTCTCATAGAAGGTTCCAAGCAACCTGAAAAAAAGTTATTTATATCATAGACAGCAAATGTAGATGAAAATAGGTCTGTGGAATGATTTGAAGTCGGTTAAAGTAACCCACAACAATTGGTCGAAGTGTGTACAGAAAAACGCAGCATTGACAATCATAATACAGTTCTAGTGTGACTAATTGATTTCTCACGATAAAATAGTCATATTTAAGCTTATAAATTAGGTTAACTATCCAGTTCATTCTTACACTTGCTTCTCATTTGCAGTTTGCCAATGTTGCATTCCCCAAAAGCCCTAACCCTCACCCCCCCCCCCTCCGGTTTCACAAAGTGAGACCACTACCTACTGCACCAATATTACTTTCGACTTATAAATAACATTAAACCTTATTTGCACCGAATCATCTCCAAATGTTTGATTTGCCTTACAGCGGCTTTTGAAATTGGCCACACTGCAAAATTTCACCCCATTTTCTGCATTCTTCCAATTTGTTCTATTCTTCGCTCATCCCCAGGTTTTTTGTCGGTATTGGCCTATGGGAAAACCTTAGACCTCTTTTGATGTCCTCATACATATTCGATTGTCACCCTTGACTACTGCCCTTGTGGTAATGATGCTCATATAGCCCGGAAAGTTTTCTCTGGCACGCGATGTGAGTTCTAAGCTAGAATCCCCCTAGAATCATCACTATGTGATTCATCCAATCTAAATGCAAGAGTAAGAATAGCATGACTATTATGCTTAGCTACTAATTGTCATCAATTAATTGGAAAGTTAAAGTAGACATTCAGATAAAGGATAAGAACGAATCTTACATTATTTTCAGCGGCGTACTTCTCTAAGATATTGTTTAATAGCATCTCCGATGTGCGTATCCGTTTCTGTGCGAATACGGGCGAGTGGAAAGCTGCCTTTTCTCCATTTATTACTAAAATGGAGAAGTGAAATAGCTGTGATATAACGCGACTTCTGAGACACTTTTGCGCATTACATATTTTCAATGTAAGCAATTAAGCATATTTTGGAATGGAGGCAATTAAACACAAAGCATGCATCATCTTATCCGTGGGCGTACAGTTCCCTATATCTCCAGATGGAGGTCAAGGTCCTTGTGCATGATAGCGTCTATCATCACTTCAATAGTTGACCTCTTCAGGGAGGTTGATCTGCATATTTCAACTATCTATTGGTTTCATTTCAATGCAGTTTGATCCTTTGTATATTTATAACGATGAAACATATTGAGGAAAGAAGTGCGTACAATTTTAAATTAGCGTCCCCAAGAACTCAACTTTATTTGAGTAAGACAGTGATGAGCCTTATTGACACCACCGTCAAACCAATCTAATCTAGGATTTGCAATTATTTACTCTTGAAAATTAGATAATAATGTCCAGAATATATCCAAACGAAGAAATGCTATTGAACAGGAGAAGCAAATGAAAGCAAAATTAGAATACACAGGTTTCAAGTATAGACCAATCTGTCAGAAATTGTATTAACTTATCAAAGACTGAATAAATTAAAATCAATTTATTTTTATACGAAGCGGTGGCTTATGGAACGTGAGTTGGGTTTAGTTGAGAAAGAGGGTGTTAGTTGTACTCTTTTTCCTGCCAACTTAAACAAGCTTTTTGTGTCCGTTGTGATCAGACGTAATCCACAATTAAACTTTGTAAGAATTTTTACTGCGCAATGAGTTATCTTTTTCCCCTAGCAGATTATTCTGAGAGCAGCTTAGATAAGCTAAAAAAGTTAAAAATAACCCACGTAATCGCAAAAATTTAAAATTAAGAGACTTTGAATTAAGTAGCAGAAAATTTGGAAATCTTGGTGAAAAATGACTTAAAGAAGGAAAATGATTCCATCTACCAATCCACAGGAGATCGACATGACCTTTTCTATGTTCTTTTTTAAAATTTAGATGTAGAGCCTTAGAAATTGACATTTCTTCACCCAAACCTATTCGATTTCTACTTGAATTAAACGATACTTAGATGGTATTCTTTTCCGATGAAACTAGTTCATTTGGGGAAGAAAAAATTGATTATATGAATATTTATACTTAATATAATTCTCGATACTATCTGATGACATTTAATAATAATAATTAATCAAATTTAAACAAGTACTTTAACATTAACTCAAGCATGACCTAAAAAATTCAGCAATTATAGAGAACGGAAAAACTAACACGACTTTTGAAAATTTTCATTCAAGTGTGGAGATGACATTTTCCAACAATAAGTACACACTAGCATTCTTTATGAATTTGTTTTCAATCGATAAAAATGTTCAACGTGAAACTCATTCATAACAAGGGGATATGGACAATACATTTCTGATAGATTTTGCGAAGGAATTTCATATAAAAGCCAAAAATGCACTTTCTATTACACCTAAGGTGCTAGAAATAAGGAAAAATTAAGATACAGAAACAAATTTATGGCAATAGTAATAATTACCCCGTTAGTTAGGAAAGGGGCAAACCAACTTTCGTCTTAAGTTAGACGATGACAACATTGAGTCTCTTCAATGAGAATTACAAATTCCCGCAGCTCCATACTTCACTTCTAAGATGGGCCACTGAGAGGGCACTGAACCCGCGAATGAGTATGTTAGCCAAAACCTACTTGAGCCTATTCAGGTTGTTCTTTTACTTTGCTCAACGAAGTATGCAGTGATATCGTCGAACATCACACTATTAAACGTTTCGCATTATCTGTACACTACCACTCGACTTTTCTAGATGTTTCACAAACGCTGCAATGAAACACCGGGGTAGAGCAAGGAAAATTTACTGAGGTATTGGTTTTCACAAATTTGGGAATTCAAATGTCACAAGATTATGTCTAATTATCAGAAGAAAATTTGGGTAAAAAAAGGCAAGAGAATATTCACCAATTTGGACGCCGAGTGTTGAGCCATAGGAAGAACGAAGTAGATAAGGACAAAGACTTGCTAGATTCACTTGACAAACTAAGATAACAGCTAGTTAATAGCAAGGTCGTTATCTCTTCATAAATTACTTTCTAAACTTACCTCAACTCCACCGTGACCCTAAATTCCCCTTAGTGGTCAGCCTATCTTCTCAATTTGTCCAATTTAATTGATTACCCGATCAATTTCCCCCCACCATAATTTGAATTGAAATGCGAAAACAGCCAAGCGTAAATGTGGTAAGTGGAAATCTCCATCAAAGCTGATGGAGATATTGTAAGTACCGGTAGGATTCAAGGTAACGACAAGCATTACTGATTTAATTTGACAACCGGATGATTCGTGAATTCTCCATGATTCATTTTTCTTTACATAAATATTACAATTTTATGAATCAAAATCTAGTTATTCTGCATTCTTTGCCTCTCCAACCATCCCTAAAAGCACTAATCAAGCTCTGCCAGCCTCTATAATAATGGGCCTGCATAAGACGTTGTAGTCAATGGAGCCACTGAGAAAGGAAGTTATAGACGATGAGAATCTTTCTCGTAGTCAAAATTTAATCTTTATATCCTGAGGGAAAGTACACTAAGGTGGTTTTCTTTGTCTCGATTGGTAATAAATATCCATATTCCAATCTTGTAGTATAAAGATAAGGCTAACAAACTACCCTCTAAATGATTAGCCTAGAAAATAACTATCAAGTATCTTCCTAATACAAACTGAATATTATTCTTAAGTATGAAATATTTGCTATATTTACTCATTTAACTTTTAGTCTTCTTTAATGAAAAAAACCAATATGACATTTTTTGGCGAATTCTTGAAAAGTAACAAGAAAGCACCAACGTATGCTTCTCAAACGTGTTTCGAACTACCTAGCTTAGATCTAAATATATAACCGTGTGTATTAAATCAATCGAATACTCTTATCGTTTGCCTTTAGCATGCTAGGGTAATACGTCTAGTGAACTCAGCAAAAGTGATTGTGTAGTGGACACTGTACCATCCCAACATGGTTAAACACTGCGCGTATTTCATATCCAAAATTTAAACAAATTGCTCACGGAGCAAACGTATACTCCTGTGCTTACTGAACTCTGTTAGTTTTAGACCTAGACCAAATCTTCAGCGCCCTAAATTATGTGGAATTAGTTTCATTATCCATCCATCGAATATTAATCTTCAAGTCTTGACATTAGCTCAACCATCCACTATAACCTATATCAATTTTATGCATGTTTGCTTAACAATTAACGCTTGTCTCAAATCTATGGTTAACCATTTAGTAGCTAAACATATATATTTCTAAATAGGGCATCAAAACGTCAGCTATCTTACATTTTACAAGCAGGAAATGACGTAATTCTTCATGATCCGTGAATTCTCGAGAAGTGGGTATTGTCGGACCGAAGTATGGAACGGATTCCTCCGAGAATACTGACAACCTACAACATGAACGTGTAGAATTCAACGTTATAATAATGGCATTTTGCATGTTTCTCACCTATAGGCATCCGTAATATTATTGTACGTGACAACTGCAAAGATATCTGAAATAATTGAGAGGAATTAAGGAAAGATAAGCGATTTAACTTAGTTCGATTTTGAAAATAATCCTTTGCCATTTTGACTCAAGAACTTACCTAATCATAATAATAGGCTCTTTCAAATGGTCCTAAATTTCGACAAAAGTCAATGTAATTATCGACCTCAACTATGTTCTGTGTTAATTTGAAATTAAAACACTCTATAAGTGTGAAGAATTTGGGGAATTATAGAGAATAGATAATGATTTTTGCCAGAGATAAAAAGTACTGTATCTTGATTACAGGCATTATGACTTTCGGAAGAATCAAAATTATGGCGATGAAATATATGATGTTATTTTGATTAAGACTCATATTGATATAGCATACTAAATAGAACCAAAATATTTCCAATATTTTGAAATGTTATTCCAGGAACGGGGTGTGCGATAGACTTGCCTCCATGTGGAGCACCCTGGGCAACGTATACTCATACGGCAAAAAAGTCCATTAATCGGCTGGCAACGTATACTCATACGGCAAAAAAGGTCTATTAACCGGTAGTTGACTTCTGACTTCAAACTACAATGGCCCAACTGTATGCCATGGTCTAACACTTCTACGGTACTCATCCTACCTTTTCTCTGCCTTGTGTCTGTCTATTTTACATCTGTAAA